GGCCCACCGCGCTTCGGCGCGACACGCTATCCACTTCGTGGTCCCGAGGCGTCAACGTCTCGAGCTTTCCCCAGCATTCCGCCTCGCGGAGCGGAGCGACACGCTATCCGCTCGCATGGCGTAGCGTGTCGCCGGAAACGCCGCCACGACATGCTAAGCAAAAGTTCCCGACCGTATTTGTATGTACGGTCTAGGTTGAGCTTGCTTGTATCGCAGATCTTGCACGATATAGGTTGCACCACCTAGATTGCAACAGACGCACGCGTACATTGCACAATGTATATTGTATCGCGTATATTGCGCCATTCAGACTGCAACACAGAGGTTGTACCATATTCAGCTTGCATCACAAATATTGCACATCGAGAGTGCAATACGTCTCTACTTGGGGTGCACGCTTCCAAATATCAGCAAAGTCAAATTGTGATGCAGGTCACTGCGTTCATCGCCTGTCTCATCGGCTTTGTGGCCGCCTACGTGACCACAAACGCGCACGTCGCCAAGCTCCGCAAGGAGGGGTGGCACGGTTGCTCGTGGCAAGGGAGTTAAGTTAAGTCCAGACCCTCTCGCCACGCGTATGCATAACACGTCACACTGTGCTGGCGCGAATTTCTCTGTGTCACTATCTAAGCCGCTCGGGGAGTTGTTCATGCGCGGCTGGTTTGCCAACGCACAGTTTGTTCGACCCACTTGTCGCGTGATGCTGGCGCTCGTTGACCAGGAAGCCAGTAGTAAAGTTAGTCAGGAGAGAATCGCTTTAAGGTTGCCAGACTGGCCTGCGAATGTCGATGATGCTTCCCCTAAGGACGACATGATTTGTTATTTCCCCAGATGCCGGCGTAAGAGCGGAATTATCATTCCCATTGGGCCGTGGCCAGAAGTACAATCAGAGTGAGCACCAACGGAGGGACAGCAGTGGAGCAGGGCTGCTCGTTGTAGAAGGATTGGGGAGGCAGGCCAGTACATCCGCGTACGCGGCTTTTGTTATGCCGCATCCTCCTCGTTCTCCCTCATTCTGCTCCTCGTTCTGCTGCTCCTGCTGCTGGTCCTCCCCCTTCTCCACCTCTTCTTCCCTCTTCCCTCGTCCTCCTCATCATTCTCATCGTTTCGCCCTCTCTGGCAAGTTGCAGCGCCCTCAAAGCTCGAATGCAAAAAGAATCAAACATCTATTACAGGGACCTCCAACGTGCACAATCTTGTTGGAGGGGGGTCATTCCTCCCCTCGGGAAGAGGAGGACAGGGTGAGGGCGGAGGGCGGGGGAGCAGGAGCGTGGGGTCTGCAGTCAACCCACGCAGTAAGGATGAGCAACTTTCCAAAGTACCCTTGAATCCTTCCCCTTTTGCCCAGAACCCCCTGGAACCCTCCAAGACAGATCCAAGCAGACCCCGCCCCCAAACCTGGAGCACCCTTGCATGCTTCCCCTCCGGCGCATCTTTGGCCGCTCTCGCTGGCCTCGCCCCGCTGGCAAATTGTCGACATGGCCGTCCAAGGCCGGTGCCTCCTTACCGTGCGTCCTTCTTCTTGCATGGGTTGACTCTGGTCGCAGTTGAGCCAGCAATACACGGCCCAGGGTCCGCCCCCCCCCATGGGGTATGGCTTGGCACCGCTCGGATGTGTGCATGTCTGCTCGGAGAGGCCAGCGCCAGAAAACCTGGAGCATCTTGGAGCACCTCGAGACAGAGCGCCCGAAACCGAACAGTGCACGTGGAATGGACGTCCGAGCGATGGCGCAAGATGGTGGCCCCTCCCACTTCCTGATGGACTCGCAGGCACGAGGGCGAGGGCGGTGAGGGGTTCGATCTGGGCGAGGGCGGTGAGGGGCTCGACTTGGCGCCGGTCCCCTCCCCCTCCAGGTTTTGTGGGGTGCGGGGGGGGAAGGGTAGTGAAGGGCTCGACGTAGCGTCCCTCCCCTCCGTTATCCAAGTGGTGTGGTGTGGGTGGGGAGGGGGGCGCCTCATCCTCGTCGTCGCCTGCTGCTCCTCCTTCTCCTCCTCCTCCTCCTCCTCCTCCTCCTCTTCCTTTTCTTCGGCCGCATCCGCACCTTCATCCACATCGTCGCCTGCTGCTTATCCTCTTCCCCATTTCATTTGCTTTGGCCCGATCCTCATCTTTATCGTTCTGTATCCTTATCATCGCCTGGTCCTCCTCATCGTCTTCCTTTCCGTTCGTCAGCCTCATTCCCATGTGAGTCCCCATCCTTGCCTGCTTCTCTTGACGTCCTCCTTCTGCTCTTCTTCAGCCCCGTCATCACCCTCATCCTTGCCTGCTCCCCCTCGCCCCCCTCCACTTATTCAGCCTCACTCTTCACGATCAAGACGACGACGAGGACGACGACGACCCCTAGACCTCCCCTTGCAACCGAGACCCCCCTGCGCCTGCGCTGCCAGCCGCTCCCGCGAAATCCGGGCCAGGCTCCGCCTCCCCTCTCAGCCACATCTCGTGCGACGGGGGGGGGGGCAGCAGCCCCGAGACCCCGTCGGGTGGGGCGGGGGGGCGTGGGACCCCTTGAGACCCATCCCATCCCCAGCCCCTCGCGCTGCGCAAAAATCACGACGGGAGGCCTTTTGCTGACTATGTTCGGACTCTCGGGGCCCTTGCCGGACCCTGGGACTGTCAACAAAAACGACTCTGGACGAAAAACCGGTCTCTGGGAAGGGGTCCAGAGCTTTGGGGGTCGACGCTGTGAAATATCAAAACGTCGGGGGTCTGGGTCTTGGGGTCGTGGGGCGCCTAGGCGCCCTGAAACCCATCCCATCCTGGGTGGGGGGGGAGTAGCAACCCTGAGACCCATCCCATCCGGGGTGGGAGGGGTCGGGGGCAACGATAGGGGGGGACAGGCACAGGGGGGGATGTTTCGACCCCCAATGCTCAATTCATCGCCGATGGGGGCCCGATAGCCCCAACCTGCCCAGGAAGGTGCGGATTCATTATCGGAGGCCTATCGCCGACCTATCGTTGCCCCTCTAGGGGAGGGGGGAGGATCCCTGGACCCTGGATCACACATCGGAGCGACTGTGAACAAAGCTGATCAAAGCTGTACACAGCGAAAGCCGAAGTCGGGGCTCGGGCGAGGCTCTGAGTTGCCTCCTCTTCCCGTCATTCCGCCTCCCCGTCTTCATCTCTCCCTTGATTCCGAACGTCCTCCCCTCCCTCCTCCTGCCCCCATCAGGCACCTCCTGTTTCTTCTTTCCCTCTTCTTCCTCTCCGCCCGAAGGGGTCGCCCCCATGCCACTCCTCTCGCTCTATATATATATATATATATATATATATAAGTATACATATGTATATATATATATAGACGTATGTATTTTGATGTATGTATGTCTGTCTGTCTGTCTGTCTGTCTGTCTGTCTGTCCTGTCTGTCTGTCTGTCTGTCTGTCTGTCTGTCTGTCTGTATGTATGTATGTATGTATGTATTTATGTATGTATAGATTGATGCATATTTATATATATATATATATATATATATATATATATGTAAACATTTCCATGCATTGTTACAGGACTGGAGACGCCGGAAACAGCCCCCCCCGCCGCCCCACGAATTTGGCCCTCCCCGGCCTCCAGGCAACCCTCCAGACGACCCGGGAGAACCTCACAAGAGCCCGAAGACGGCCTCAGACGGGTTCCAGGCGTTCCGGCGCGCTCCCGCAACGACCCCAGAGAGCCCCAATACGGTCCACGACGACCCCCAAGAAGCCGTCATACCCCCAAAGATCGCTCCAAAACGTCCCAAGAGGCCTCCAAGAGCACTCCCAAGAAGGCCCCAAGAGGCAAAATTCATTGTTTTTCTTTACTGGTTTTTGGTGAACTTTGGGGTTCTCCTCGTTTCGGCTTCCCGACGCTCCAAGACGGCGGTCGTCCAGGCGTCCGAGACCGCCTGGCAGGCTGCAACATCGCCCCGCAGCCATCCGAAAGAGTCCAACAGAGCCCCAAAACGGCACAACAGGAGTCCAAGATGGCCCTAAGAGAGCCCCATGGCGGCCCAAGATGGCCCCAAGACACCCTCCGAAGCATTCGAACCGTTCAGGCAGACCGCGGTTGGAGGCAGGGTGGCCCGAGGAAACCCCCAGAGGCCCCCAGAACACGCCCAGGAGGCCTCCAGAAGGCGTTAAGAAAGCCAAAAAAACTTGTGTGAGGCCCCCAGAGGCTCTCCAAGGAGGAGTCTCCGCAAAGAGAGCTGCGGAGGATGGGGAGCATGCGCAGGGTATGGCGAGAATGAAGAAAAATGAGGAAGGATAACGAATAACATTCGTATAACAGCGATGCCGGAAAAGGCAAAAAGGAGGTATCGCTAAATTGTCGGCTTGACCTTGCTGCCATTCCGCCTGCATACCAAACTTCAAGGACCGAGGTGCATGGCGCGAAGCGCCACTGCAGTCTTGTGTGTGTATATATATATACAAGTCTGCATTGGCGCTTCGCGCCATGCACCTTGTTCCTTGTGAGTTCGAATGCAGGCGGCGTGCGCGCGGGTGGACGTGGGGCCGGCCACCGCCAAGTCGGAGTGGGTCAGGAGCTTCTAAGCGAGAGCGACCGACTTGACAACGCCAGCTCTGGCCAGCTCAGGGCGTTTCTGTGTCCAGAGGCGCGAGTAAGTCTCAGGCGACTGGTTGGGGCAGCATGAAGCAGGGCCTCCTCCTCTTGCTTTTCCTCCGCATTTTACTCCCCCCTCTTTCTCCTCCTCATCTTCACCCTCTTTCTGCTCTTCCCTCCTTTTCTTCATTCCGCTTCCAAGGCTGGCGCAACTGGGCCCGGAGAATGGGGCCCAAGGACGGACAATTCTAGGAAAATCATTGGAAAAGCAAGGTTTTTGGTCTTCTAGCCATGTCGCTGCCGATTAGCTCTTGAGGCGTCCAGACAGCTCCAAGACGTCTCCAAATGAGTCTCCAGGCGAGCCCCAAAGAGGCCCAAGGCTGGCGCAACAGGGCCCGGAGATGGCGCAACTCGGCCCAGGGAGTGGGGCCCAAGAGTGGACAAATGTAGGGAAATCATAGGAAAAGCAAGGTTTTTGGTCTTGCGTCGTATCGCTTCCGATTGGCTCTTGAGGCGTCGAGACAGCTCCATGACGTCTCCAACTGGGTCCCCAGACGAGCCCCAAAGAGGTCCAAAGCTGGCGCAACAGGGCCCGGATAGTGGGGAAAGCTGAGAAAACGCTGTAGAGAAACAATGTTTTCGGCCTTCTCGCTTCTTCGCTTCCAGATGACTCGGGGTGCGTCCAGACGACCCCAGGACGGCCACAGTGAGGCGCAAGACAGGCCAGAAGATTCGAAAGTCTTTTGGGGGAGGGCGGGGGGGGGGCTCCCGGGCCTTATAGGGCCCGCAGAGGGGGGCCCAGAGATGGACAAATGTAGGAAAATCATTGGAAAAACTAAGTTTTTGGTCTTTTCGCCTTGTCGCTTCCGATTGGCTCTTGAGGCGTCCAGATGCGTGCAAGACGACTCCAGATGAGGCCCCAGACGAGCCCCAAAGAGGCCCAAGGCTGGCACAACAGGGCCCGAAGAGTGGGA